ACCCTGCGGAGCCGTACGATATGGGTTGGTACTAAAACCACGAATACCCCCAGCTTACACACTGGTGGTACTAACTATGGGCATATCTTTGCCAGTTTTGAAAGTATAAGCACTGAAAAAAGTTGCAAAGTTCAGTCCATGGTGAAAAGTAGGTCAAAGGTCAATTTCAAGGTCACAGTTAAATTGCCAGTATATGACTTCCTATTCAACTTCAATAGTAACTATTGACCCAACTCTTCTAGTTTTGGAGATATAAGAGACTAAAAATTTTCAAACTTCAGTTAATGGTGAAAAGTAGGAATGTACTTTTTGATACAGCATAACTCGTGAACCGTATGGAAAACAAAAAAACGGAGACCACCTCCAGTGTTGGGAGGCTCTATTTAGGCTCTAAAATTAATAATAAAATTGGCCACTGGTTCATTTTTGACCACTACAAGCCTGGGATGTGGAAACCTTTTGATCAACAAATGACAATATTTTCTTCTAGTTATAACTGTGACTTCGGCCAACACTTTTAAAATCAGTACACATTTAAAATCAATATCATCAAACGTAAAATCAATAGTTACATAATATAATCCATGTTTTAAACTAAAATCATGTATCTGACATGCTTTAGAAACTATAATATACATGCTCTATCAAATGCAAAAAACAAGAGGTCTCTAGCATTAACGACTCCAGAATTAGAGAGAGTTTTATGTTTCAGCATCTAATGGCTGCTGCTCCCGTGAAAATGCATCGATTGACTCGAAACTCACAGAGATGAAAGATAACCTGAAGGGTAACAACTACCAAAAATATAAGAGGTTAGGTCTGCGTAGTTTCTGAATATCAGCACAAATAATTTTTTTTTCGTAAAAAATTCCCTTTTTTTGAAAATTTTGGCCTGTTTGACCTTGAAATAAAGGTCAAAGGTCAAATCCAAGGGCATATTTGGAATCCTCATATGTGACTTTCGGTCAGAATTCTATATTAATTTTTCCCAAAATTCCTTCAGTTTGGGAGATATATAGCATTGAATTTTCAAAAATTTTGACAAGGGTGCATTTCAACGAGAGTCATGCCTAGGCAATTGCACCGATCGAGACAAAAAAACCAGGGGGTTCAAGTTGAGATTATATGTGACCTAAATCCAAGAGATGGGGACACAGGCCCATGCAGTCTAGGAGGAGAAGCGGTAACGGTGACTTGTATCCCACGCCACCCTGCGGAGCCGGCGGAGCTCACGGAGCCGGCGGAGCTTACGGAGCCGGCGGAGCCGGCGGAGCCGTACGATACGGGTCGGGACTAAAACCATGAGTACCGCCAGCGTACACGCTGGTGGTACTAATAATACCCATTGGCAGCTGCACCAAGCATTAAATATTACATTCTAAACACGAATGAACCAAATGATATCTACATAACACAAATATAATCAAAGTTTACCTTGAAGATAAAAAATATCAGCCAACCTCTTCTATGATGATATGGTGAAAGACAAAACCAGATGAATTCTGACTGTGAAAAAGGTGACATCTAATCTACATAATCAGGCCATCCACTTCCTTGCTTTATCACAATTAAGAAGAAGACATGAATATATCTGACATGTAAAACATTCAAAAAATTTTACCTTCACCAGCATCCTGGTCTTAGCCCTGCTCACTTATCCCTGGATATGAATCATACATTTTTCTCTAACAGACATAATTCTACCACATTGTACATTACAATGCAAAAACCAACAAGTTATGCTAAAATAAGACAATGGCATATTAAAATAATTTGTTTTCTGTCTGCAGGTTAGAGGTTAGTCCATTCCCCTCCCTTTTTCACTGATTTATAGTTTATTTGTGTTATTCATGTGTGAATTAATGTGCAGAGAGAGAGAGAGAGAGAGAGAGAGAGAGAGTGTTCTCATTTTATTTTTTCTGTCTTTGTCAAATTTTAAGACACAGTTCTGGGGTAGCGCTAACACTCTCCAATTTAGCCAAATGCTAAAACTGACTTAAATTGGCAAACAAAAAAAGGCTTGATTTGACGTGTTTTAGTCAAATTATAATCATCTGGATAACAAATTGACAAAAAAGTGATTTGGCTTCGCGAAAAAAAATTGCTAGCAATACCCCAGACACAGATGGGTCAGCTCTGGCCAGTCCCCAGACAGGTGGCGGTATCCCTGACCACTCAGTGACACCAGTTAGGTGACCAATGATACCAGGCCGGCCTTGAACCCATCCATCATGACAGATAACATTGTAGTCCTCCTGCTCAAAATAATTTCTTTTTATTTAGAAAAAAAAAACTTACTCATTTTCTCTTCTCATTGTGCCACATAGCTTTCAGCCGACATGACTTCTCATAACTACAAGTTAAACTAAAATGACACAAGGACTGGTTCGGGGTAGACAATTTAAATCATATATATATATATTAACGTCCTTCTTTCCCCTGAGGTCAATCAGTGCAAACATGACATTGGAAAGAAAGATATAAATAATAGCATCTTCATGTGTGACAGCATTTTCTTGCTTACAGCCAGGGTATTTATACAAGAAACACAAAAGATGTCAAGCCNCGAAAATTACAGTATTAACATTTTACATACATGAAAGCTTGATTAAAAAAAAAACTTTTGAACACGCCTTACAGTAAATAAACATGCCAATCAAGCAATGCATGCAAATACACCTATTGCCTCAGTTATCGACCTTACATGCAAAATTGTGGTAAATACTAGAAATAGTGAAACAGTACTTAGTAGTACTGCAAAAAGGCTTAACTTAAGCTCGGTCAGTATAATAAGGCGATATTTTGACTGCCTTACCACTAACTTCGAAAACAAACACTACAAAAACTGCATTAAAACTGAGCACCAGTCCCTCCTACCTGTCTGCGATGCAACAGTGGACTAATATGACGGACTGGTAAAACATTTTTCAAGAAAAACAAATTACGCGTGGTTCGCAAGGCAGCAGACATGTTTTTGAAATAGGCAATGATTGAACACCGATAGTACGCCATGTGTTTGTTTACGGCGGGCTATCACGCCACCTGCATCACACCATTTACAAAGCATGGACGCTGTCACCTGTACCGCACCGGTTAATATTGCAGTTATAAAGTATTGTAAGTATGGATGCTGTATCTAGTGTTTTAAGAATTTAACATTAGGTAAAATTACCATGTTAACCGCATAGAATTTGAGTAATTAACGTTGTCAGTATGTAGTTGATCATTGAATTGAAGCTTTCTTCAGAGAAATTTGCACTGGACCCCCCCCTTTACACACGCGCACGCACGCACGTACTCTCACACACAGAGACACACACCAGACATGCATTCACTTCAGAAACCAGGGCAACCGCAGCTTGGTTCAATGAATAATGATAATGTTTAAAACACAGGGCGTTACCTTGAAAGTGATGAAGTACGAAGTACTGGATACAAGTACATGTATAGTACCCCCCCCCCCCCCACACACACACACACACACACACACACACACACACTAAACCTGGGAACTCAACAGAGATTGGCACATTGTAATGACAAACTGGAATGATAATATTGAGTAAAACTTTTGAAATTCCACAGAGATGAAAGTACAGTATACATCAAAGGGAATAAATGTTTATATTATTTTTGTAATAGGGTAACATGCAAAGGTGTATTATTTCAGGGGGAAAGAGAGATGAGGCACTTATTTTACCTATCAATAGTTCTCTCAGTGCTACCCTTAGCCAGGAACAGGTAAGACATTGGACAAAGGTCTAAATCCCTTCTTTATCAAGCAGGTGGATGAATGAATGAATGAATGAATGAATGAGACTTTGTAAATAAATAAATAAATAGATAATTTAGTAAATGATTAAGCAAATGGATAAACCGTTGAATGACTAAATGAATGAATGAATGAATGAATGAATGCATGAATGAGACTTTGTAAATAAATAAATAAATAGATAATTTAGTAAATTAATAAGCAAATGGATAAACTGTTGAATGACTAAATGAATGAATGAATGAATGAATGCATGAATGAGACTTTGTAAATAAATAAATAAATAGATAATTTAGTAAATTAATAAGCAAATGGATAAACCGTTGAATGACTAAAAATGAATGAATGAATCAATGAATCAATGAATGGATGAGTGAATGACAGCTGGACTAGAAGAACAGGTAATGAAACTGATAAATATAGTAGTAGTAAATACAAAATTAATGTACTGTATATATATATAGATATTATAAAGAAATCAGTAATAGATAAATTGAATAAAAGGATGCAAATATATTATTAAATCAGTGAATAAATAAATTTCATTTAACTTTTTTTAACTGTCAAGTAATTGTTTTTTGTTGAGTAATCTTGTAGTGACCAATGTCTCTTACAGCTGTGTGCCAAGACAACTGTAGCGGTCAGTGGTCAGTTTACCAGGGACAGGATGTGGCTCAATGGCAAGTAGGTAACTCTGACTAGATTCTTACTTACAGGTTGCATTAACCAAGCACTTGTCTAGAACCTCTTAGACCCCGTTCCCATACCTAGATCGATCTAGCAGGATCATCCCATCTCCAAGGCGGCAAGGGGTAATTCATGCTAAATTGCATTTAGCTGAAGTGGCTTTGATGTCTGGCACACCTACTTATTCTGTTAGGGGGTAGTTAAACTATCCTTAAGCAGCTTCAGTAGACATGCCAGACATCTAAGCCGCTTAAGCTGAATGCAACTTTGTAATAAACCCTTTGGCAATGGGTCAATCCTGCAAGATCGATGTAGGCTTGGGAACGGGGTCTTATAATGAACTCATTTGTTTTTGAGACAAACAGTTTTTTCCAAAAGAAAATTCTTAAAGGTACAAAGGGGCATAGGGGGGCAATGTGCTGTATAAAGAGAGTTCTGTGACTGATTGATTTATTGTACTTCATGGATATACCACGAGGAAATCATTTAAACTTTTTTATTGAGAGAGAATCTGTCCAGAAGCTCACAGTGACAGAAGATTGTAATTAATAAATCCATTAAAGAAAAGTGGAGGGCAATGTAAATCAGTTTCAAGGAGTATTACATGCTAGATTTGATTTAATTCAGTATATCATTTAAAAGTACCTGCACATTGGATTTAATGTAAGATATGAAGTGCATGAGACTTAATTGTGTTAAGATACATGTGGTGACCATGTGTACAAAAGGATCCTAAGGAAATCAATATGTACAGTAAAATTGTTATTGTGCACAAATTACTTTGTTTGAAATATGTTTTTCTTATTTTAAATATTTTTCATTTATAGAGAAGAGTCCTTGGAAAATCCTAGATATCAAAATGTGCTTAGAGAGAGTAAGTACCTGTTGATGGGAATAGAACATTTCTTTTTTCATTTGTTTCCTTACAGGAGTTTTACTTGTATATTTTAATAGATAATTAAAGGTGCATACAAAGTCAATTTTTTGTCACAAAAACCAACCAAATGCCAGCATATAGTTTCAAGTAGTATAACCAAGAGAATTACCAAAAGGCATTGTTTAATTTTACCCGAAAATGATGTTTGAACAGATTTTTCTGCTGGCTTTCTAAGCTGTATGTCAATGGGGTAGGAAAGTAGGTCACGGAAGTAGGTTAAATTTACAACCATAAATTTAAAGAAAGGAGCAGTCTAAAGGTCTTTTATGGCTGATCGAGCTAGGATCCAAAATAAAGAGGATAAGACAGTGGCTCAAACTTCAAAGGGAGTCTCCCGCGGCGCGCGTCTCATGATGCCTTCGGGTTGGTACGGCGAGCCTCGTTTTCAAATGACCAGGTAGCTTGTCTACGGCAGAGTGAAACGAAGGTCCCGCTTTAGTCGCGTTTTTTTCATTGTATCCGGAGAATTTCGTCAAAAGACAAGAGGAGCTGATTAAGGAATATGCAGTGAAGCACCGTGAGTATTTATATTGCAGTTTGTAGCTTCAATAGACAGTAATATCAATTTCAATATCCCCGTCCGTTAGATTTGCAAAGATGGCGGGCAAATTTACACTGCCGTGCATGTTTACGCTCTCGTTGTTATTTGGCGGATGCACTTTCCGAATATTTGTCAATGCAGAGTTATTCGGAGTACAGTTTTGATATGGCAACACCTTGTAATGTGGGAAACGAAATAAGTTGGATTGTAAAAAGAGCGTAGAAATAGTGCCCCCAACGCCAATAATGGCGGAGCGATAGTTCTGGGAGGTAGTTTACCTATACAAAAAAACTTTACATGGGACTGGCTTGCTAATTTTAAACCCACATCTATATTGTACGTTTTATAACAAAAGACGTTACGATGGATATTAGTGGATTAGAGTTTTTATTCCAGAGATATCAAGGACTTAAATTGCCTAATCACTCTAAATTCAACATGGCCGAACGATGTAACGCCGCGGGCCCCTTCTTTTAGATACAAATGCACACAAATATAACTGATATGTCTCATTTTAAACCTGCATCTATATTGTATGTTTTGGGACAAAAGACGTTACGATGGATATTAGTGGATTAGAGTTTTTATTCCAGAGATATCAAGGACTTAAATTGCCTAATCACTCTAATGTCAACCTGGCTGAATGGTAAAAAACATGACCTTTTTCTTCATAAAAACATATATGTTATTTATTTTTTAACAATGTGGTCCAGAGTTAGTATAACACTGACTGGTCGGGTACATAGTAATACATATTTCTTTCCTCAGATGCCAATTAAAAAGAGAAAGAAGATAGGCAAGAAGGTTAAGAATGCCCAGGCCAAGAAATATGGTAAATCAGCAAAGATTTCCAAAGACACAACTACGTATCCAGGGACAAATGACAACAGTGGTAAAGGTTTTTGCATTGTGTATTATACAAATAACCAGGTGAATTTTATAAATGAAACAAAATGTTGCTGTTATATTCTTATTTAATCTGCCAGCTTGCAACCAGAGTCTTTAATTTTGGAATGCTGTGAATGTGGTGTATATTATTATTATCATCTTAGATGCCTGTAACATTAAGTTATTTATGATTATTATTAAAACTGGAGTTCTAAATGTTTCTTTCTTATGCAGAATGTGTCGTGTCAAGTCAACAATCTAGTGAACCTGAGGATGACATGTCTTTAAGCAGCCTGAAGGATGTTTCTTCTGACAACTCAGATACTCAACAGTCAAATGGTGAGAATCTTTTACAATGAATTGCTTCATTTTGATCTACCTTATTCCCTACAACATGAAATTTTAATTCTTAAGGTGCTCCATATCTAAGTGAACTTCCATCTTATTCAATCATTGAAATATTTCATTTTAGATGTTTAATTAATTAAGATTAAGTTATAGATGTTTCCTCACCTCAGGTGAATTAACAGTCTTGTCTTTTATAGAATCCTGCCGTTTTTTACTGAGCAAAGGAGTTGCTTTTGTGCTAGCAGACCATTTCAATCAGGACCCCTTGGAGCAGTACTTTCCATGCAGAGAAATGCGGGTGGTGCCAATGAAAATCCAAACGTATCATCGTTCCACCACAACACGTCAGCAATTAGAATACAGAAATCATTTGCCATGGCATCATTTCGAGGAAATTCCCGCCAGGCACAACCACAAAGAGAAATTGACAGTACACCTCTAGCCAAAAGAAGAAAGATCATCTAGCACTTTTCAATGGGGGATACCAATTATTATAGAATGTTGTAGAATGATAGGTAACTTTATTAGTATTAGTATTAGTTATTCATACATCAGCCCATGTGTCACCAGCTGGGACTTAATAGTTAGCATCAGTGTTCTTTTTTTTAACTCTATAAGCCATGATTAATAGATAAATGGTGTTGTGGTGACAATTTTGTTGATCATAAATGAAATGTTTTGAAGTTTTTTGGGGTTTCAATTTGTTGATAAACTTAGATAAGTAAATGTGTACAGGTTACATTTAACAGGCTGCATCTTATTGGGAAATTACAGTGATGAATTGCATGAACAAGTGAATTCGTTTAATAAACTTATTTGAACTGTACATCTGGATTTTTTTCACTTAGTGTTTAGGGGGAGAGAGAACTTTCAAGGGATATTAACTGTTCATTTTGGCCAAAAAATGGCTTTTCCTGGGGTAAAGGACAATTAACCCGTGCTAACCAATGGTTTGTGAATTCATTCTGACATTCAAAGTTAGTCCCTGATTTTTTTTCTAAAAGTTTTCTTTTTGTAGTATTTTCTTAAGAGATTATTACAGAGTGCAGACATCTATGGAGAACACACAAAGTGATGGCAAGCATAGATTTCAGAATAATTTGATTAACCGCTGTTGTTGTGGTATAATAGCATTTATTTTATTTCTATGATCAATGCATTCATTGTGAAATTTGGATCTCTTAGACAGTTAAATGACAGTACAACGCAACAGAAAAATGCAACAAACCCAATGTCTATTCAATCTATCAAATTACACAAGAAATCTGAGTTGAGTGTAAAAAGAGTGCTAAAGAATTTCCTTTACAAGATGCAGTAACTATTTACTAACAAATCATCTACTTAACACGCCCTAAATAATTTCCAATTTTTAAGTCACCAGCATTGTTGAACATCATTGGTGAAATAGCTTATCTGTATGTTATGATCTATTAAGTACGTTCTGTTAATTATCTAAAGTTTGTTTGTCACAGCGACACTCCGAGCTTGGCCTTCGCCGACAATTTGCTGTTATTGTCCTTCTTGGAATCTTCTAACAAAAACATATTTTACGTACAATAATGTAACATGATACGAAGTGAACACTTCATGTCGCATAGATAATTCAAAAATCGCCGGAACGACTGGCAAAACCAATGCACATTGTCATCTATTTCATGTCTGCGTGTTACAATTACCTGTTATAGCCCTTTTTTCTTCTTGTCTGAAAGCATGCTGTTCTTCATAATATTCCAGTGACAACTTTATTTTTTGTTAAACACAATATCAAAAAAGAACGTTATGGTATACAGACCCATTTTTTAATACTTCCTGCAATATTTAACGTTAAAACATTTCACGAAATCAACCGCGTTTTGAAACTTACAACCAACATGGCGGACGGGAACGTAGCAACCGCGAGAATATACGGTAATGTGCGATAACTGCCTGTGCACGCTTCGTCACGCTAGCCTGACCACACGCTGTCTAAGCTATCAAAACAGCTTAACTAGACAATAGGGGAATGTTTACCCGAAGGTATCATGGTTCAAAGGCGATTTGCCGCTTTCTTATCCTCTTTATTTTGGATCCTAGGATCGAGTGATCTATTCAGTTTATCCCTTGGCATGTCGAATTTATTAGAGCCATATAAGAATCTAGTAGAAGTGGTTTACATGTGTTACTGGGAATCCACACTCCACCGATGCTCGGTTCGTATGTACCTTTAAGTAAATTAAATTAAAATTCAATTTTAAATGAAATAATCCAAAGGTGTATACTTGACTAAAATTTAACTTCTTGAGTCAGGATCCATGTTTTAACAAATTGTTACCGAAAAGAGAACAAGTGCTTCATGAAGTGAATTTTTAAACTCTTTAAAATGCATAAAAATAATAAAGACGTTAGCAGTAAGATGAGGTATTGTATATACGCCCAGAATCTGTTTCGTGGCATTAATTAAGCCTTTTAAAGAACTTTGCCCATCCTTAACTTGGTATACACAAACTCTCAGCTGGCTTAGAGGGCATTCCCAAAGATTTAGATCGATCTTACCAGATCTACTATCAGATAACTAGGATTATCTGACAGTAATCAAGTGAGACTCTCCACGAGGATAGATTGATCTAAAATCTATGGGAATGCGCCCTTTGTAATTATGATAAGGTCCCCATAGAGAGCCATTCTAATCCCTCAGTTGTTCTACTTTCCTTCATCTCATTTGTGGTAAAGATTTATAATTGATTTCATAACCAAGCAGTTCAGTTGGTTAATCAGTTTGGATATTATGTTCATTTCAGTAAGAAGGAGGGCTAGAAAAAGGAAAATTGCAGGAGAAGGAGAAGAAAAAGGAACAAGTTTGTCTGATGCCCTCAGCTGGCATGTTCATATTTGCTCTGTGAATAACTTCCCGACTGCTGCTGGTCTGGCCTCATCTGCTGCTGGCTTTTCTTGTCTAGGTAAGTGCACATGTACTACAGTGTCAGGCTGCATTCACAAAAGTGGACTATCAGATTCTCGGATCAAATATGGCTGACCCACTCGAATGCTTGTTGCGTATTCCCCGTGGGGAATCTATTCATTGTCTGTAAAGGAATTAGGCATCAAGCTTTAAACCGTATCACCATATTTGATCCACGGATCTGTTAGTTGGCTGTTATGAATGCAGCCTCAGATAAAATGCAACATTTTTTATCAGATGTTGACTCAAATCTTCTTTTTGACACCCCCTGTTTACAACCACGAATTGCAGTTATGGTAACAATCAATTGTATGGGGAACTGAAAAGCTTGTGAGTGCTATGAGTACTTCAACTGAATAACTGTCATCTACATGTGTACATGTGAATGTGCTTCTATGCCAGCTTCAGATTAATTGTAGGTAAAAAAGAAGGCTTGCGGAATTGTTCCTAAGACTCTACTAAAACCCAAGATACTTTTACAATGGCTAGTGGCAATACATGTTTTCTTTTGATGAAATTGATTTAATTTCCAGTTTACTCTCTGGCAAAGCTGTTCAAAATAGAAGGTGATATCAGCGAGATAGCCAGGCAGGGCTCGGGCAGCGCTTGTCGTAGTTTATATGGAGGGTTTGTCAGCTGGAACATGGGAGAGAAAGACGACGGCACAGATTCAGTAGCGGAGCAGCTGGTCACAGAAAACCACTGGCCTGAGCTACGGATATTGATACTTGTGGTAAATGTTTCTTTTGTACAATTATGCCATTTATGAGTATTATTTCCATATTGAGCTTGGCAGTTTCTATAGTTACCGTACCCTGTAATTTTGTAAGCATATACATATGCCTGATGGAAAACATACCTAGCTATTAGCTATTTATCACTCTAGCTATTTATATCTGGTCTCCTGCTCTCATTTGTTTTCATATGAAGTGCGCAACCTCTTGCTGCTGAACCGAATATTTGGTATCCATGTTTGCAAAATACAGGGCAAGGCACACTAGGAGTTTCCATTCCTAAACTTAAGTCGATTCACAGAGCAAGGGGATTGTTTTTCATCTTCTGTGCTCCATCAACTGCTCCTCTTCACACACACATGCACACAAACTTGCCTTTTATTAAAATCTACTTTAAATTTGACATTAAACTACATGTATTTTTAACATCTTCCAGGTCAGTGACCAGAAGAAACAACTACATGTATTTTTAACATCTTCCAGGTCAGTGACCAGAAGAAACAACTACATGTATTTTTAACATCTTCCAGGTCAGTGACCAGAAGAAACAACTACATGTATTTTTTACATCTTCCAGGTCAGTGACCAGAAGAAACACATAGGCAGCTCAGCAGGAATGGGAGTGAGTGTGAAGACAAGTGAACTCCTGAGGTACAGGGCAGAGCACATTGTACCCAGAAGAATGAAGGAGATTGAGACTGCCATACAGAACAAAGATTTCCAGACATTTGCCAAAATCACCATGCAGGTAGGATGCATTCCCAGAGATTTAGATCGCTCCAGAGGTTTAGATTTAGATCGATCTAACTCCCTGGGGGTTCACGCTAAATTGCAGTCAGCCGAGCGCACACCATAGTTAATAACCCTTTTAAAGCTTTTAGTAGGCGGGACAGACGCTTAAGCCAGCTAAGCTGACAGTAATCTAGTGAGATATCCACAGGGATAGATCGATCTAAAAATCTATGGGAATGGGGTCTAAGAGACATCCTGAGTTTTTAGAGCCCATTCAGAATAGGGGGCTAACTAGTCCGAGGGTCAAATATGGCCGACCCACTTGAATACTTCTCCACAGAATATCTATTCAGTGTCTATTAACGGATTAGACAGCAAGCTTTGTAGTGGGTCTCTGTATTTGACCCACGAACAAGTTAGTCCCCTATTCTGAATGGAGTCTTAGGGCATATTCCCAGACATTTAGATCGATCTATCTCCGTGGGGAGTCTCACTAGATTACTGTCAGATAATCTGGCTTAAATGTCCGTCCCGCCTACTACAAGCTGTAAGGGGGTAATTAACTTTCGTGCCCACTCGGCTGACAGCTACTTAGCGATAACCCCCAGGGAGTTGGGTCGATCTAGTTTGGATCAATCTAATCTCTGGGAAAATGGGGCCTTAGAGATTACTAAAAACCCTCCTTTATTATCATCTTGCCTCTGCTTGCCCCAGTGCTGAGATGAGTTTCCAGTAATCTTTGAAACTCGGGATGGATGTAGAATATCAGAATGAATCCAAATCCTCTGACCTCTCATTCAGCTGTGACAATTGCAAACAAACATACTCGGAATTGTCGAATGATAGTGCCTACCGAAATTATTGTGCCCCCTAGAAAAATTCCCCGATATTTAATAATAGTGCCTAGCGGAATAATTGTGCCCCCCCACCCCCCCACCCCCCCAAAAAAAAATTTTAATCAATTTTAATAATTTCAATGAATAATTGTAATGGCAATTTTAAATTATATTTTAATCTGGAAAAAATATGTTTTGACAATTAAACATAACAAAAACACAATATCTAAACAAATCCATATATTTATGAAGTTAATACTGTAACATTATTATTATTACACAGAAAGTGTAGCATGTGGCCATAAAATTGTTCACATGGTAAATGCCACACAGATCCATTTAGCACGTTTGTTCATGAAAATATATTTTACCATTCAAATATCACTAAAAATATAATATATACGGCTCCCGCGAAATTCCATTGTGGGGGGAACAAGTTCTCTGCTGACATCCTCGGCTAGAATTTCATAATCAAATTCTTGCGCCGTGTAAGATCTTCCAGTGGCATCTTTATCAAAGTACCTCACTGCGAGTTCATTTCCCCCTCTCACCACAACAGCAGGGATGGTCACTGCACCATACTTTACCAGTACATAATCATTCACAGTAAGGGGCAAGGAACTTGGCAGTTCTTCTGGTGAAAACAAACAAAAAAAAAAAGTGAAACAAATTGTAAACATCAGTCCGATAATATATTCCCAGGATTTTCTTTTGCCATTTAAAGCCATAACATCCAGAACTTAATATGCATATATGTAAATTTTTTTTTTTTGTTTGTTTTTTTTTTAATATAAATTCAAACAAAATTATACAGCTATGACACATATCAGGAATGAAAGACCATTTATTAAGAAAAAGTAAAAGAATGTCCTTTATCCCAGGAAAAATCATTAAGCTCAATTTTTTACAAAAAAATCCCAGTTAAATTGGCTTAAAGCCTAATGTTAGAAAGAAAGCAAAACAATTTAGTAGCAGAAGTTAATATGCACAATGTCAAGGGTGCATGTAATATTTTACATTTACCTTTATACAAAACATCATAGTGACCAGACCTTCCTCCACTTAGTCCTGGTTTGTACAACAGATTGACTTCTTTTGTTGACAACTGGCTAACTTCCCCAACAGTAGTTATCTCCCTGACAGTGGACTTATTTACCAGCTGGAATACATGGATCACAACCCCTTCTACATGCGCTGCAGCATCTATTGCTAAGTGAGTTGCATAAACTCCAGTTCTGCTTATATCATCAATCTCTTCTTCTAAACTACTGTAACCTTCATCTAAAAGTATCATACAAATTGGTTGTTAATGAGAATATTTTATAATGATAGACCAAGAGTTCATAATTCGGATCAGGTTCAGAATTCAGATTAAAAAGGGACGTTGTCATAATTACCCATTCATTTACAAATCATGAATAACACATGAAGCCATCTAAAAGCTTATGCAGTAATATATTACACAGAGTCCTCACATGGAGATTTAACTTCAGTTGCCCACAAGCAATACAGAATTTTGCTTGTCTTTCAGTATATTTTTTGTACCATGAAGCCGCTGAAGTTGACATCCTATGTTATACTGATCCTAATTCTGAACTCTTGGTCTACTCAAGCATTAAACAATTATCAATTTTACAAGTCCAGCAGTTAAATATTTAATCACTTCACAAGTATAAAACAATGAGGTATTTCATTTTTTAACATGTAAAACTGACCGTTTTCAGTCTTAATAAAGGTACACTGCAATATTCTCTAAAAATTTTCAAACATCATAAATTGGGAAATAAATCATACAATAAGTACCTGTAATAATGAAAGTTCTATCCTGAGAGAAACATTCAGTGTGTTCACCTTGTCTCATGGAGCTAACCAAATCCTCATAGTGAACTGTGTTTCTTCTCATATAATCAGCTGTTCTCTTCCTAAGGCCTAGAATCGATTGTTCCTCTTTTATCTTATCATCTTCATTCAATGGGTAGTTGTCATCACCTCTTGGGAAACTCTGAAGATCCAAATCTGCTGCTCTGAAAAATGACCTAAAGAAACAATCCCCATCGCGTGGTGTCTTCATCAGCTGATACGTATGTCCATCTGATGATTTCAACTGGGATACTTGCTCTGGAAGAAAAAAAAATAGTGGAAAACTGGGCACGGAAGAATATTTTTGGTTATTTTATGTATTTATGTACACTATGATGTTTTGTGATTATTGCCTTTTTACTCTTGTAGCGGGTTTCACAAATGTAATACATCTATAGGAATATTATGTACTAGGTATATACTAGTAAAAAAAATTACCACTGTTATTTGGTTCTCCATTCAGAGAGATTGGCTCTGTGCTGTCTGGAAAAGGTTCAGTTACAGGGATCTCTTTGGTTGATGCATACAGCCTTTGCAAAAGAGATGAGTCGAGGAGCATTCGCCTTTTTACACTGTTGCAAGCCTTTGAATAAGCAGCCCTCATGTGACAGAGATGAGGCATCATTTGCACTGATGTTTCCCTCCCAAAAGTGTCAAGCACTGTCCCCAGTTGATTTAAAAAAAGAGCATCGCGGTTCAATTCTTGGTTGTCAGTGTTGGTTGGTAGTCCAAGATGTCCCGGTCTCATGAGAGGTTCATGGGCTGAATTGCTTGTGGAATCTGTGCATGAAGGAGAAGCTATTGACTGTGGTTCCATTGGCAGTTCGTCCACATCAGAGAGGTTTTCCTCCTCTCCATCTTCATCCTCTAATTCACCATTCTCTGTGTCCAACTGTTCAATTCCTTCATCCTCCGGAGACTGGCCAATAGCTGCACGGCAAACTCCATCTGGGGGCGTAATTGTGGACAACCGGTCAGACAGATTTTGGGGCGGGTCCTTAGCCATCTCTTGTGCAGGAAGATGAGCCTTCAAGCACCCATCTATGTCAACAAACCTAAAATAAAATAAAAAAAGCAATCTGTACTTCCAATTCTCTTTATAAGTTATTACATAAAACCGTCTTACTTCTTGTTTTACATTTTTTTTTTTAGTTTAAGAAAACATAAAACACACAAACCATTTTGAATGGTTTATCTGTCTTAATTAGACTTAAAGCAATTGCATAAACATTATTATTGTATCTGGGCCTAATTATATCAATACAAAACTTGTGCACATGCATTCCACATGTTAAAATCCGGTCTTTTCCGCGATTTGGAGTTAACTACGATTTACCCCAGCTACCGCTCTGGGTTTATTTCGATCGCGATTAGGGGTACGTCGTCCGTTCACATTAGAAAAGTTAACCGCGATAGGACCGAGGTCAGGTCTTGATCGCAGCCGAAAATGCTAGTGTGAATAGCCTATATCAAAAACACTGCTTAAGGTATAGACATTAAAAGCAACATGGTATTCTAGCTACATTTCTCCTAACGTTTGCGCTAGCAAATAAACGAAATGGGCTTACTTACCATTGAAAAATCGACTGCCTCCTTTCAGGTCCGACGGGTTTCCTCCCTCCTCCCGCCTGCCGATATCGTTCATGTCCCAATTCTTCGTCCAGGGTGCCGTCCATTTGTCTTACATAGAGCTCCAGGCATCTTGATACTAGTGACTTGGCCTTTTGAAATTCGGCATGCCCGTTTGGTAGAGAAGCCAAGTGAGGGAACACCTCCCTTATCGTCTTGGCAAGAAACCCTTCTTTCGGTTTAGGATGACTAATTTTCTTTCGTTTAGCATCCCAATGAGCTTCCAAAAGTTTTGCCTCTTCTTCATACTTTAATTTGTTTGTGTAACACAATTTACCGATATCAAATTTCTGAGCAAGAGAGTATTTTCTGTAAGCCTTCGCCTTCGGCATCATTTCTGAGAAACCTCCCTACCGCTTGCACTGCGATGTTGCATACTGCGCAAGCTTGGCGCCAAAAAAAAAGTTGAACATAGATGACCTCTGTTCACGGTTCGGGTTCAATTTCTTTGACATGAACGACTAACTGATCTATTCGGTATATTTCCGCTATAAACAGACGACAACCTGGTCGATCTACTCATGGGCGGAAGTTGTGGTCCACATGCTGTCTGGACTCGGCCGGAACGAGTCACCCGCTCTTTACGTTTCTAACACATTTAACTGAATTGATGAAAATGAAATCACCGAAATTGAATTTTTCATTCAAAATACATGTTTATATTGTCACGGATACATAGTGAATATCAACTGGAGGACCCAGTCTTTAAATAAATTCCGCTCATGCGCAGTAGGTTACTGGCACTTGAAAACCTCGTGTAGTAGATTTGACCTGGTTTTCGTCTGTTTATAGCGGGCGTATGATTTTACGACGGTCAATCTGGTGGAAAGACAGTTGGATATTAGCAAAGTGACAGCTCTGTTGATGAGAAAACTGGTTGACTTCACATTAATGTGCGAGTTGAGGAGATGAGATGTAAAAGATAAAATTGAGAGCTGCCGCACCGCGGCTGGTTCGGCAACTGGTTTTCATTTCCCACTTTTTGAGGCCTTTGTACATATCAGAATCGACAATAGGAGTGCTAACGCATGAATTTTCGTGCAAAAGTGCCACAGGGTAGAGATTTATTATAATCAAATAAGATAGATTTTACAATACGCTCTGAATCGGGCGGCAGTATAATTATTTAACAATCACAATGTTTCATTTTGTCTGCTACTCACTACCGCAGAGTTTTGCCTGAGGGTGATGGTGACGTTCAAATAAATAAATATTCTGTTTAGAAGTAAGCAGCATTACCTTCTAGATTTATTAGTTGACTCATATGTTAAGTTTTTTTTTTTTTTCATACATCTAAGGTGTAACAATTACAATTACATTTTGATGTGAGATCAGTAATAACATTTAGGTAATAATTATCTAGGTGCGACAGAGACTCCGGACAGCAGGTGTTGCCCTACCAGCACTATAATAGAGCTACTTTTATATATGCAAGTATCATAATAATAATTTTTGTAGATAAAATTTACCAATTAAAGCAATCTATTGCAATTTAAAGTACTTAATAAATAAGACAATTTTATATGAAACATTTTTTTGCAGGACAGCAACCAGCTCCATGCCTCCTGTTTGGATACCTACCCACCCATCATCTACCTGAATGATACGTCTAAACAGATCATGCATCTAGTCCACAAATACAATGACTTCTGTGGACAAATTAAGGTAAGATAAAAAGAATATAACATTCTTTCAGTCGCTGGCCTTTTTATTTTTTATTTATTTATTTATATTTTGTTTAAACACTTAATTTTATTTTGGCATAGAAATCCTTATGCCACATATGAAAACTACCAGATTATCATTTTCAGTTGCAACCATTTTTAATAATTTATACTCCTTAATGCTTTTGGGTACATTTCTTTCACTTTAGTGGAGGGAGAGGGGTTCAGTCTATTACCAGAAAGTCACAGCAGTCATAATTTTATATTGTCTGGTAACATTCTGAAAGTAAGATGGAAATGTTTTTTTGTTTTTTAAGGTATTTACCGGTACAGGGTGGTCCAAAAATGTTTCCATTTTTGAAAAAGTAGCATTTTCTATTGAAAGGAAAACTTCACAATTTTTTTTAAAGACTTATCTTACAGACGTGGAAGTTTTGTGTTGTGTAAGTTTTTTCCTTGTATTCTATCATTTTGGACATGTTGAACAGTGTCATTACAAACTTCAGTGTGCAAGTAGCCGCCGTGATTCAGTGCCAAGGAGCTTGGATTAATAAGCACAATAATCAATGTTTTGTTATGAATTATGCCTTGGTGGTTTTATATTTGTTTCTAGAGCGTGTGTACTTTGTGTTGCATTGTTTCTGAGGGTGATGGTCGAAAAAGAGTGTGAAGTGGAACTGAGCAAACTTGTCAATATTTTGCAACTTAAAAAAACATCGATTTAAAAATAATTATTATTTGAAAACTTTTAGCCAGAGTGTCAATGACATTTGAAGACGTTTAATCGTGAAATCAGTAAGTCGCATTATTAACTATTGAGCTGTGCTCTCAAAACACTGGTATACATGGAAAAAACTTACAGCCCACAAAACTTAATTCTGTAAGACAGGTCTATAAAAAAAAAGTGTTAGATTTTCCTTTGAACAGAAAATAATACTTAAGCAAAAAAGGAAACATCTTCTTGGACCACTCTCTACAAACATTTTTCATAATCATTTTCTCACATATCTTTTCACCTCTAGGTTGCCTATACATTTGATGCAGGTCCCAATGCCTGTCTGTATTTACTGGAGGAGGAAGTGGCAGGCGTACTAGCCATGGTAAACCATTGTTTTCCACCAATAGAGCAGAACGGAGACCAGCATATTAGAGGGCTACAAGTGGAAGAATTGCCTATTCAGAAGGTACTCACTGAACATTCCCAGTGTGTGAGCCTTTTCATGGAAGTTTATGAAGCTGACAATATGATACAATTTTTATTTTTATTTAAATGTTTTGCCATTTTGTGTTTCTTTTTCTTTATAATTGTAAAAAGCTATCAGTAGAATAGAATAATGAAAAAATATTACAGAAGAAATGAGTGATATTTTAATGAAAATGTCCTAATGGTAATAGTTAATATTTTCTTTGTAATACAAGCATTACATCCTTTTTTTTTGTCTCCAAAGGATTTAAAAGAAAGTTTGGGGTTCACACCTCTATCCCCAGGGGCATTGAAGTACATCATACATACCAAGGTATGTTTTTGGTTGTTCACAGGCAAATTAATGAAATTGTCTTGCTTGCACCCTTAGTTATCAAACCACCATGTTACTTATTATCTTCAGTAGTTTTAATACCTAAAGCTACATCAGACTGGTTATTATATGTGATGCTGTGAAATGTAGATTGACACACCTTAGCTGTCATAAAGCCCAAGGTGTGGCATTGTTCAGTATTTTTTAATTAAATAACATTATTGATTTAACTAAACATGATTATAAATGTTCATTTTTCCTGTGCTAAATTTCCAATGTAATTGTGATGAATTTGTGAAAAAAGATAACCTCAGTTAAACGTTAGCAGTTTATTGCTGTCTTTTAATACAGGTGGGAACTGGGCCACAAGTGCTGCCATCTACAGAATGTCTGCTGAATGAAAATGGACTGCCTAAAGATGCACATTCATGATGAGGGCTCGTGCTCAGCCTTTAGACACTCTTAGAAACCCAGGGTGTTGAAAAAATGAATCATCTGTTAAAAGGCAGAGAAATATTGAGCCTTGAAGACATTAGCATATTAATAATTCAGTCTTAGCTTATACAGGAAAGAGGTGTTGGCTTTATGTTCTGACACATCTGTGTCTGTACATAAAAAGTAACATTTGAAAATAATATGCCCGTGTCAAATAAAAACTTAAAGAACCAGTTTCATACGTGGTTTGCTTATTATTTTCTTTATTGTATAGATAGTCCAATACACCTACTGCTTGCTATAAAAGCGTACACTGATGAAAGTACTTTAATTTATGCCAATCAAAGTTTTATACTTTCAATAAATCTTCACTGATTTGAGCAAGATCTGGTTTCATAACATCTCTCATTTTGAAGTAAGCAATATCTTTCATATATATCTATAGCATAGCAATGAGGTCAGTGTTGCCATCTCACTTGCAGTGGATATACATTGCAAAGGCATCATCACCATTAACATACCAAAATGGAACTTTGCTGTTCTTTTAAGTTTCTTCATTTAGACAGCTGTGTAAAAGACAGGACTGCACTGATGCATGGACATTTAAAGCAAAATACTTCTGTAGTCTTTATGGAATACTGGTTATTACACAAAATGGACTATTACGTCAACTGTACTTTCTGGTTCATGACCAGCAACACACGAAGACGGACAACAATGCCTGTTGACACCTCACTTGGTATATTTCCAACTCCTCGTGCATGCGCACAACAGTAATAACACTACATGTAAACACTACAGCTTCCATCAGACATGACTTAAGATTGTAAGAAAAAAGTAGTGAAGAAAGACTTGTGGCCTTAAGACTGGATGCTGCTTGAGGCAGAAAAATCTGTATTAAAAATTTCTGATAAAAAATGAAAAAAAAAATCAAGTATATTTTCATGCTCACTGTCATTGAGAACTCAATTTTCTGTAAATATAAATCATATTTAAATAAAGTTGAAATTGCACATAAATTATACTATAGTTTTTCACTTCTGGAATTCAGTTCAATTTCTTGGCATAAAATTGGCTGAATACATTGGTCCAATCATTTTAAGCATAATGTCAAATTTCCATGTGCCTACCATACACAGTTATCAAACATGTTTTACCCTGTCAAGAGCAACATAAAATTCATTCTTTATATTCACATCGTGCCAGCCAATAGGGCCGATTTCACAGTCTGCGCAGATCAGGTATTTGCTTGTGCCAACATTTTTGGTGAAGCCCACATTATCAAATGTGTACATGTCATCCACCAGCCAGCAGTCAGACAGTGTCTCTCCATTGGGATCTGTGCCCTCGGCTTTTTTCTTCATGTGTGGAAGGAATAGCTGGAAATGAAATGTAGTATTCTGGGTGTTAGTGATGCTGCTGACAATGGTGACATTAACTTTAAGGGAGGTTTTTTATTATCAACAATTATCTGAGTGGTAAAAAAAAATGATATCAATAATCAATTCACACAAGCTGCACATTATTACAGCTACTGCGTCAATATATCAAATGTTTTAGTGCATTTTAACAGTACACACAAAATAATACATTAACTTTCAAACGACACAATAAAATTATTATAAATTACTACTGAGTACATGTACGTGAAATAACGCTTAAGAGTGAGATGGGTTTGTGGGATGGGAGAAGCTAATATTATAACAATTTTAATGACATTAAATAGATTAAATAAGTAAGGGTATCAGCTCTTAGCGGCATCGGAAGTGACGATCAATGAATTTAAAGTCTATCTCACCTCTTTTTGTACAAACTTGGCACTTCCTGGCCTAAGAACGACGCATCCGCAGCGTTCGCATTGCAAAGTTAGGCTATTTTTGCCATCTTTGACTAATTCAGCGTGGTTTGGTTTGATTGGCGATGCTGCCCCTTTGGTTTCTTCCCCGCTCACCCCCTCTGACATTGTCAAATGTGTTCTTTTGATTTTAACCACTATTCCGCATGTGAAAACTCTTTTGAGATTAGAGACCCGAATGTAGTACACTGAGATCGACTTCCGGTGTCTACAGGTGGGAAAATGAACGCATGTATCGAGTCTTAATCGGACAGATTTATGGTTCACAATAATCAATGTTTTGTTATGAAATATGCCCTGGTGGTTTTACATCTGCCTCTAGAGTGTGTGTTCTTTGTGTTGCATTATTTCTGAGGGTGATGATCGAAAAAGATGTGAAGTGGAACTGAACAAACTTGTCAATATTTTGCAACTTAAAAAAATAACATCGATTTAAAAATAATTATTATTTGAAAACTTTTAGCCAGAGTGTCAATGACATTTGAAGACGTTTAATCGTGAAATCAGTAAGTCGCATCATGTCTACCTGTAGTTCCCTTCCTCATTTTATTCTGTTTTTAAATCACAGTAAACTGTTGCTCTTCAAAATACATGTTTACAGATTCCAACATGAGTGGAAAGGACAGTGACTTGCCGGTAGCTTTTAAGAAATTTGTGTCGGAGGATGAAATAGAAGAACAGAAAAAACGTAGACAAGAAGAATGGGAGAAAGTGAGAACAGCAGATCAACCTATAGGTAAGAAGGCTATGGAGAAGGTGGGGGAAGTTTGAGGCATCCTTTTGTTATATTAGGAATATTTTTTACAAAAGTAATCTAATAAAAACTTCTAAGTTTTTTTTTTTTTTTTTTTTT